GCTTTGGAATCCTTAGCTTTCCATTCATCTGTAACTGGAGCTGGGGGGGTGTCTGTAATCACTGCAAACAAACCCTCTTTCCGCAGAATTGCCTCTGCATACAGAACCCAGTCCGCATAGTTTTTCTTGTTGAGTTTAGGAATCCCACAAGCATCCTGAAGGGCCATCATGACTCTGGCATTAGCCTTCAGCGTCATATATGCTGCTTTAAATCTTGCTGCGTCACTGCTGCAGCTGCTTTGTTCCAAAAGCGCACTTAAAAGTTACTTTCGATTTCCCCAGCATAGTAACGTAGCCTGGGAGCCTTTTGCGTATTCCCGGCAAAACGGCTTTAAAAGTTCAAAGTCCAGCCATAAAGCCATTAACTGGAAGCTGGCAGGCTGCCCGGAGCAGTAGCACATACCTCATCAATCATGTTTACGCGCAGAGCAGATTCCGATCCGATCTGTCCCTCTGCATTCCGATCCTTTGCCGGCACTCCGATTCGACTTCTGGAGCCCATAACCACGTGTTGGTGTAAAGCAGAGTCCCGTGCCCAGCGGAAGGATGAGGAGTACGTACTACATACTCTATATTGCTTTATTTACAGTTCAAAGCTGGTATATTACAGAAAGACATCTTGCCTCTGCCGGAGCAGGAAAAGCATCCTCTCTCCTCGACAGCTTGGAGAGAATCACACAGTGAAAAACAGGAAACCAGTGTACGTCACATCCAGTCTCCCTTTCCCGTGAGAAACTCCAACAGTACAGACTGTGGAATGTAAACACCTGTCTCGTGACAAGCCCTTTCGCTGCACAGTGAAGGAAAGCAGAAACCAACAACTTTTACATATACGCTAATGGGGTCTGGAGTTAACTGAGCAGAAACAAGATATTGTGGTTACAGTGTGAGGAAGATGTAAACTCTGTATGTAGCAGCTGTGAAAAAGGTGAATTTCATTTTAGGGATAATTAGGAAAGGGATTAAAAATAAAACTGCCAGTTTCATAATGCCATTACAGAAATCTATAAGTGTGACGACACTTGGAATGCTGTGTACAGTTCTGGTGGCCTGCCTTCATAAAGGATGATGTAGAGCTTGAAAAGGTTCAGAAAAGCTAAGAGGAGACATGATAGAGGCGCATGGTTATGCATGTTGTGGGGGGGGGAGTGGATAATTTATTTTAAACAAAGAAAAGGGTGTCAGGAGTACAGTCGTACCTTGGAAGTCAATCAGCTTAGTTCCTAAATGTTTTGGCTCCTGACTGTCGCAAACTTGGAAGTGACTGTTCCGGTTTGCAAACCATTTTTGGAAGCCGAACGTCCGCCAGGGCTTCCGACTGGCTGCAGGAGTTTCCTGCAGCCAATCAGAAGACACACTTTGGTTTCTGAACATTCCGGAAGTCGAACGGACTTCCAGAACGGATTCTGTTGGACTTCAAAGGTACGACTGTAATGATCTCTCATATCATGCCACATTTGGCCCTCAGAAGTTCTATATGCATATGAATTTTTGTAAAAGAGGTACGAATAATTGCAGATTCATTTGGAAATGCTGAGAATCTTTATATTTATGCTATGGCTGCATACAAGTAGAGAATAAAGCAAAAGCCTGTTCTAAGGCTACTGCAGTCATTATTCTAGCTTCAGGCTGAGAGGGTCCATTATATAGCACTTGTCTTCCACTGATTTTCAGATTATATATATGGCTGTTTCAAATATCAAAGTCGGAACATAGCAAAAGCAGAAGAAAGTAATTTTCTGATTAACTGTCATGGTTTTGTTTTGGGGGTTTTTTTATATATAAAAAAGTTCAACCTGATTAGCACTAATTCCAGTGGCTGCTGAAGATCTCAGCAAGCAAAAGCCCAGAAGCCCATGTGCAGTGTAATTACTCTCTTCACTGCAAGGAAATGCATGCTTGGTTCTATCGCACAAATGAACTCACAAAGAATTGAGTCACCTGTCATGTCACAGCAAGGAGGCAATTTAAAGCAACAACAATAATGAAGGCATGAATCTGGAAAAATGCTGCACTGCACTTAAAACCACCGTATAAATAAGTTCCTGTTGAATAATGACATTTTTAAAAATGAAGCCTTCGTAGTCTGCCCACATTGCTCATAGGCACAATCAGAGTTTCAGTTGTGCCAGGGATGGTTAGGGTGCAAACCTGGCATATGTTTCCAAGAGAAGCAACACGTGAAGTAATAGGCTGTCTCGCCCAAAAAGGAATCAAGTGGCCAGATTCTGAAGACTGCTTTTCAATGACTGGGGCTATGTACATATTCACAATTTAAAATTTAGTGAGGCCACACACCCCCACCCACATTTCAAGTCACCTTTGCACTTTGCTGTCACACCAGAGATGGTGTGGGGATGTCTTCACTCAGTGCACAATAGCTGTTTGATTTGCTCACACCGGCAACCTCTCATCACCTGATCATGAAGCTGTTATCTGCACATGTGCACCTGCTGTCTCAAATGTACACACCTCAGCTTAACCTTAACTGCAAAGTGAATGTGGCTTACATTCTCAGGTTCAATGGAAGCTGGTTTTAGAGAAAATGCATCAGACAGCAATATTTCTCAATAAACTCCAGGATAGAGATGGATTGTGGTTAGCATCATGTGTACACAGCTTCAAACACCAGTGGTGGGAGAATGCTAGAGCCAATAGTAATGTGAACACAGCCTAAGATTATATTTTTTTCTGTTCAGGCACTTAGACAGAATACAAATGTTAGGAAGCAGGCATAGAGAATCTTAGTTCAATGAACTGAATATCATGACAGTGTTTGCAACTACTATAAAGCAGCCAAAATACAGCCTTTGTCACCTAAAGCTCTCACTCCACCCACAATAAAAGTTACGTTCATATTCTGACGAGAGAAAACAAATCGTTTTGCAACTCTTGAAGAACTGATAGTCCTATTTCCCTGAGTTCAACAGTTAAATCATTTCAGGATCAAATAAATATTAGTTTACATAATACAGGTATGCTATAAATTTGTTCCGGTGTTGTGAAGAAATACAAAGCACTAATGTGTCTTAGAAAAAAGGTCCCATAAACAAGCCAGTTGCATATGGGAACTACAATCAACAGGGGGGGAAATGCTCTAAGCAGTTGTGGCAGTAAGCTACTTGCACCAATAAAAACCCTCTGATATAACGTCTCCCAGCCACACAAAAAATCTGGACATGGTGCAACCTCATCAACAGATGAGGTCAAGCTCACTGTGACCCCTTGTGGAGAAATGATGTATTTATGTCTGTTTATGTTTCGAAGGGGAAAGTATTCTGTGACTGTGACAGTCCAAGTTCAAGGCTATTATGACATTGCAAGCCTGGTCAGCAGTATTGCTAGGTGACAAGTTCTGAGAGAGAGAGAGGTGACCGCTTTGAGGATTTTTTAGGCAGGACCTGGATCAGGTAAATTTAGTCAGATTGGTCTGGGTGAAGAGGGGCTTTTAATTGGGCAAATTACCACCTCACAGAACTGTCCTTTCTACGTCTACTTAGAACTAAATCCTATCAAATTCAGTAGGGCATATTTCCATGTAAGTGGGGCTTGGATTTCAGCAAGGGAGCAAAAGCTGGATTGCAGCACTGAACTTACTTTGGCTCTCTTTCCCTTCCTTACTTCAGGTTTTGGGCTAGAGCTAAACCACACATCTTCCCCCACCCTGCATTTTCTTTGGCTGTGGGGATCATCAGCAAACTGGAGGATCCGCAAGCAGAGAGAGGGAGTTTAGCTATGCTGCTGCCCTCCCCTGCCCATCCCTTCCCATCTAGGCCAAAATAGCACAGATCTTCAACGTGGGCTAAAGAGAGGTGGGCAGCTGGTCGGTCTGTATAATATTGCTGCCTTAATGTATTCCTTCCATGGCTTTAACACATGAGATGAAACCATCAGTGAGCTTTATATTATGATGCAAGATCTCTTCCCAAGGTGGTTGCAGCCAATTTAGAGATTATTGGTGTATAAATGCATCTTCAAGGGAGATGCAGAAGAGACCTTAGAGTTGCAGATCTGAAAGGAGCAACAATGCCAAGACTTGCAGCAGCAAATATTACCTTAAAACAGTGAAGTAAGAGGTAAAAAGATAAAGTTAAAGGACCCCTGGATGGTTAAGTCCAGTCAAAGGTGACTGTGGGGTTGTGGTGCTCATCTCGCTTCAGGCCGAGGGAGCCAGCATTTGTCCACAGACAGCTTTCCGGGTCATGTGGCCAGCATGACTAAATAGCTTCTGGTGCAATGGGCCACCGTGACAGAAACCAGAGCGCACGGAAATGCCATTTACCTTCCCGCCACATTGGTACCTATTTATCTACTTGAACTGGGGTGCTTTCAAACTGCTAGGTTGGCAGAAGCTGGGACAGAGCAATGAAAGCTCACCCCATAGCGCAGATTTGAACTGCCGACCCTCTAATCAGCAAGCCCAAGAGGCTCAGTGGTTTAGACCACAGCGCCACCCGCGTCCCTTACAGTGAAGTAAGAAGGCAATGCAGGTTACTAAAAAGGAAGGAGCTATGCACTTTCAATTTTGAAAAAGTCCCTTAATTGAAAAAACAACTTAAGGACTCAAGTCTGTAGATTACCCAGACCAGCAATGCCACACACCAGGACACGTCAAAAGAAAACAATGACTTGCATTGCTATAATCATTTTAATCAGCATAATCAAGACACCCGAGGATAAACTGTAGAGAATAATTTTTCAATTAGGGCAACAGAACATCTATGGAAACACGGTTTCAATATTATCCTATCTAATCCTTAAGCCAATTTCCACTGATACCAGTGGGAAATTTTATTTCAAGTGAAGAGGATTTGGGAGAATAACAGGGCAGTATTTGCAACCCAGAATTTGTAATTAGATAAATAATAAATAAACCCACCATTAGGCTTATATGATTCATACACTTATAAATGAATGTAAATAACTTCATATGAATAACATTTAAGCATAACAACTTCAACATGATTAACGAACCAAGACAGACATTTTTAAATACTTACAATCGGGAGGCATTTTTTCTGTGAACAGCTTGTAATACTCTTTCAGCAGCTCCAGATTTTCCTGGTTAACAGTTTCTTGCAAAGAGGTATCTCCAAACCTAAGCAATCACAGAATACCAATTGGCATAGAAGCAGCATTTCTGCACAAGCAGACATTTTCCACCCAAAGAAATGGAACAGGAAACAACCACCTCAGCTCTGAATTAATACAGTTGTACCTCAGGTTAAGAATTTAATTCGTTCTGGAGGTCTGTTCTTAACCTGAAACTGTTCTTAATCTGAAGCACCACTTTAGCTAATGGGACCTCCTGCTGCCGCTGCACGATTTCTGTCCTCATCCTGAAGCAAAGTTCTTAACCTGAGGTACTATTTCTGGGTCAGCAGAGTCTGTAACCTGAAGCGTATGTAACCTGAAGCGTATGTAACCCGAGGTACCACTGTATTATTATTTTATATCATCAATCATTTTGTGAGCACACCATTTAATTACAACTTCCTAATTCAAGAACAAAGTGTGTTCTGTTTCCCTAAAGGCCCTGAAAGGTTCAGAAATGGGAACTAGCTCACATGCCACTCAGGCTGCAATTCTATGCTCATGGGCTTGTAATTTCCATTGAACTCTATGAGACTTACATTAAATAGACACAGACTGCATTGTTATTTAGCAGTAGGTTTGAACATAGGGTTCTCATGTCAAAATGTAAGTGTATGATTCTGGCCTCATTGAACCACAGTGCTGAATTTGAACATTATTATATTGTAAACTAAATGTTACAATATACAATTAAAGCTTCAGCATATTTAGTGTATTTACTTGAGAGTAAAGTCTTGTAAAATCCATAGTACTTAATTCTGAGTCAGCTATGGTCAAAATGAAATTCACATTCAAAATGAATACTGCAGAATTCGCCGAATTTTAAAAAGCCCCAAAGGTGATGAAGTGTAGGATGTGCTATTTTCCTGTACCAATACAAAAGTACCGAAAAGTACAAAAACATTGCATGAATGGAGGTAGGAGGCAGAGTGCACCTTGCCATTCTGCTGAGGCCCTGCTGAAAGGACATTTCCTGTGGAAGTATCCGAGGGTAGCTGTATTATTTAGGGAATTTAAATTATTTGTAGCCATTTTAACATAAAAAAGCAGAATCACCAGAGGAAGGTTTTGGGATTTAAAGTCTTTGTGACAGACGGCATGGGATGGCACACCACCCTAACCACTCATGAGCCTTACAATCAAGTTTTTGTTTTTCCTATGTCACCTTTTACAGTAGTAGAATTAGCTTGAATTTTGCACATTAGAAGGGTAGGCACCTGTGGTATTTGTGCTGTGCTACTGAAGACTTTTTTTTACCATGAAACAATGAGAACTTGCCTCCTTTGCACCTCCAGTTAAAGACAGGTCTTACTTTCTGGCACCAAGCAGCCATCCTGCATTGTATGGGCTATGAGGCAAAAAATGCTGTGTTTGGCACCTTGGTACCCTCTGTAGTCTGGTCTCCTAGGCAATTATCCTATTACTCCATGGGTGGGCAGCTTTAGAAAGGCTGTGTGGTCTCCTTCAAAATACCCAAGAACTGAAACGTAATCCTGATGACTTACCTCTCCGCGAGTGTTTGCTGTTCATTGATTCCTACATTAAAGAGAACTGGATACACATGGAGCAGTTTCCCTTCTTTAATCTCTTGTGGAAGCAGCTCAAACATCTTTCCTGGGAGCTTGATTTCTATTACATAATGTCCCCTAGGAAAGCAAAAGAATAAGACTGATTTGTGCAATGTGTAAGTGAAAAATTCTGGGTGTTGTTGTTGTTTAAATTACACTTGGGCAACATAAACTTTATGTAAGAGGCAGAGGACATATTCCTAAATCATGAAAACTACTGGAGCCTAACCAAATTCAAATAAGCCGAGAGAGAGAGAGAGAGAGAGAGAGAGAGAGAGAGAGAGAGAGCTTTTTTGGTGCCACTGCCCTAAATCAGAAACATAAATGGAAAGCTGATCCTTTTCAGGTCTCTTGCAGTCCCTGAAGAAGAACCTGAAAAGGTGTTGAAAACTGTCCTGTAGATTACTGGCCACCTGGATGGGATGGCAACCACTGCTGGGTCATGGCTTGATTTAAGGTGGGTCACAACAGCAACACTACCACCTTGCAAACATCTGATAAAAATGCAATAAATGGGTCTCAAAATGCATGTTGGGGTTAAAGGTGGGACCTGGGTCCCCAAAAGATAAAAACTATGGATGTAGGTCATCCCAACAGAGCTGACACTTTCAGCATTCTGCTTCCAGGCACACTTCCTGTTCTGACTTCAAAAGTATTGGGTGGGGGGGGGCGATGTTCCATCTCTGAGCACGAAGCTATAGTACCTCTTCTGGATTACTGGAATTCAACTCCATCTGCCCAGTAGCTTTCATTGCCATTTGTCTCTTGTCTGCCTCTCCTTGCTTAATGAACAAAGGAGTATTACTCACAGCTCTTCACATGGCATTGCTAGCAGCATTCTGCTTATGATACAAGACTCTCTCGAAATGAAACTAACTTAGAAAAAGACAGCACACACTAGCAGCCTGTCTGTATCTTAACACATATTTAGAAAACGTGGATTTAAATTACTAACCTCCCTTGGTTTGAATGTAATATGCTAAAGCTAAATCTAGAAATCACATTTCCTTCGTGATTGGCGAAGTCTTAACCTCACAATGTCAAGATATCAAAATTTTCTTTATTTCTGAAAAGCATGCAAATTTATACAACAATCGGATCAGAAATTTAATTACGAACTGTTTCTTTATAATTACTTTTTCACTGAAGTGGGAAAAAAGGATTAATAAGTAAAAATTTTAAAAAATGAGAAAAGGCTTTTAGCCTTCTTACTGCTTGTCTAGCATTAAAATGAGGGCACACAAACTTTTGAAGCACTTTCTACAGAGTTACAAAAACTCTTTCTGCATCCACATATAATGCCAAACGGTGGCTTGGTGCCATGCTAATGACAGTGATGTGCCTTAGTCTAATGCACTCCCTTCTCCCTTTGCTGGTTTGTAGGAAGGCATGGTTTGATCAAACCACAGTTTGCCACAGTCACATGCAATAGCAAACAATCATTTTCCAAAACACCAGAAATAATAAAAAAGGAAAAAGAGCCTCCCGCATCAAGCCGATGATGGCCCATCTAGTCCAGCAACTTGTTCTCACAGTGACCAACCAAATGCCAAAGGGAATTCTGCAAGCAAGGCATGAGTGCAACAATACTCTGCCCACCTGTGATTCCCTGTTGTAGCAGTTTTAATGTTCTGTGCTTGATATTATTTGATTTTTAATTGTATTCTTATTGCTTCTTTTATCTTGTATGGTTTCTTATATCCTATAATGATAGGAATCAATGTTTTCGCACTTGCAGAAGAGTTTCCTAATGTAGTAACGTGTGAAATTAAAAAGCAAAGGCACTTTCATTGTTCTAACAAGTTTCGTTGATCTGTAGGGAATCTGGTGTCAAAGTGAGATACTGCCAGAAGCAGGTGGGACATTTCCAGAGAGGAGAACTGTACAAAGTCAAAATTTGTGAGAGAAATACTAAAGATTGAAGTCTCAACATAAAAATGTCATCCTGCCAGGGAAAATAAACCTATATTTATCCTATGCACTTAAGTGATGGTATCTGTGTATTTACATACGCAGTTCTGGATGATGTATAGGTTTTGTTTTTCTTTTAAAAAATATAAATTTTGATACACATTAATGTTTTCGACTGACATATTTGTTAAGTACTTTTTGCTTAGTTTATTTTATCCTACTTGACAAAAAGTAAGTTCTAAAGAACTTTGTATCACCACAGGTTCCCTGACACTGGCTAGCATTCACACTGATATTGTCATTATAAACATCTCAATGTTTGGTCTGTCTTTTCTCTAGGGTAGGCATATTGCTAATATATAGAACTAATTCTATTCATTGCTGCCAAGAAAACAGACCTAATAATCTCATTTACCCAGCCTTGCAAACAGGAATGTATAGATGGGATTGAATGCATGATTATTTCAATGACATTTTAAGATGGTCAAGATAAATGCAAGAAGCTGATTTTAAAAACAAAACAAAACAAGGCAGCCGTTAAGCAGCCAGAATTCCTGGGCTCTCAGTCACTGTTTGTTATCATTCAAGCACAGCCAATTAACTACTAAGAATATTACACAAGGTTTCAATGGGATGGCAAGGCTTCAACTGAAAAACACCTTCCCTTGTACACAAAAACGAAAGGCTGTTGTAGCACTGCTGTTCACAAAGCCACACCATGGTGGCCACACAAACTCCAGCATGACAACAGAGTGTCAGGCAGCACAGGCAAGCTGTTTAATGGAGGGGGAGGCATTTCACAAAGCGGTTTGCTAGTCTACTCTGTGACCCACGCTCAGTTAAACATGGGTGCAGGAAGGTTTCATGGAGGGGGAGGTGCTTCAGGAAACTGCACTCTGAAGCACCGCCCCTATCATTTAAAATGGGTTTGGTGTAAGCTGTGTGGGGAGGAGAGGGGTGAGCAGGCACATGAGGTGTAAAGGGAGGGTTGTTTTGTCAGGTGTCAAGGTTGCCCAGGTGTTGGGCAAGGGTGGTTGGCAAAGGAGTTGGCAGGATTGGCTAGTGGTAGCAACCCTGTGTGGGTGGGTGTTTTGACATAAACACTGCCAACTCTCTTGGGAAAGTGACTTAAAAAAAAAAGTTCTCTTACACTTCTGTGTGAAGGGTGTTTTGTATACACAGGCAAAAAGCTGGTAACAAAATGCCAGTCTTCAATAAATATGCAAGGATTTCAATACCAGAGGAGAGTGGCAGTGCTTTATACAATTATCTATTTCTCTCACAAATACTGATATATTCCAGAAGACTATTATCTTTACAAGCCTCTTCAGGGCATTTATTCCCCGTTCTGTCCATTTGTTACAAATCATAGTTACACGAATACATTTGCAGAGCAGCTAGAAAAAGCATTAGATGAGTTTCCATTTGATTTTTCTGGCACAGCATAATGTTATGACTTTGTTTCAGGAAACAGATAACACTCACCGCCTTCCAGTTATAAGAGGCAAGAGGTCATCTGATTTGGCTTCAGTTATTTTAAACATGACTTTTTGTAAATCTGATATTCCCACAGCCATGTCTTCTAGCATTCCGATTTCTTCACCTTCAGAGAATGAAAATTAAATTACGAAATAGAATGAAAAGAAAAATATGACAGACAAGCTCTAACTGGTCTATTTCAATTTTAACAACATGTAAGAAAAGAGTTCCTAAGCTTCAGAGTCAATGTCATATGTTAATTTGTTATTTCCACATTGACCATGTAGCTGCACAAATATGCCTATTCCAATTTTTTAAATTTTGATTAGGACTATGTAAAATCTGCCCTGTACCTTCCATGGATATTTCTGCTTTCCCACAAAGCCAGCATCACGTGTATGAATTGCAGGTCTGAATTACTGATGGATATTTCACATATAGGATTATCCATAAGAAGTTTTTTATCCAGAACAACAGTTGTACCGTAACCACAAGTGTTATGATGCAAAAGCCAGTCACATAGACAATAGATTTAATTATGCAAGAGCTTATGCAGTTATCGACTGCTCTTTTCATGGAGCTGATTATAATATTTCCATTTTGTTTGCCTGTTAAGGATGCTTATTCACAGTAGCAAACACAAAGTGAAATCTAACAGTGTCCAACCACCAGTGGTCTGGAAAGTTGAGAAGCTCCCTGGAGCAGACTGGGGGAGGGGAGAAGTCTGCTGTCATATTTTTGGATGTCACCCATAGTTTATTCATCGGGGCACTCCTAGTTCAGTTGTAAAGCAAAAGTGGGGAATTACATATTAATGCTTTTGAAATAGTAAGCAAGTTTAATTCAATGGATAGTGCGATAGACTCGGGTCTAGCAAATCTAGGCAGTTTGTCATGCAAAATTGGTAGTAGCTCCACTATGCCGATTTATACTGTACATCATTCAGCCACAGTATGCATCTGTAACACTAGTAGCCTAGAGCCCTCCTAACACAGTAGTTCTGATCAGCAAGATAAAATGGTAAAGTACTTGTAATAGTAACACTCAGATATTTATATCCCAACACATAACCTGAAAGTATGGCTTACAAATGGAAAAACAACAACATATATAGTGTCTTTTTATACTGGTATCAGTCTATCTATACCAGTTAAAACACAATGGCTGGAGCCAGAGGAGGAATATTGAGTTTGGTTTCCACAATCCCACCCCCTTGTACTCCCAAAAAAGCTGCTCCTGAGAGTCAAGGGAGCTCTTTCAAATGGCATGGGATGTGGTGTGAAGGGCCACAGTTGCAGTGGCAAATAGAAGAAAAAAATAATCACTGTTTGGATCCAAGTTAATAGAAAACGCAGCACATACAATATAATGCAGGTCAGGTAAAGACAACAAACTGTCTCACCCTTCAATAGTCTTCTGAAATAAAATAATCAATATAGTACTAAATATGTTTATTCAGCCATCCATTCTGCTGATACATCTTATACTTCCAAATAAACATAGCTCAGAATATCCACAAAATATATATATATATATATATGCTTTCGTAGATTTTCACGGGTACAGGAATGCAGGTTTTGGTGTCCTCGGGTGTCTTCCCGTGTAAAAGTTGGGGTGTCTAGGCGACGTTTCGACGAGGTCTCACTCGTCATCTTCAGGCTGGTGCTTTCGGCTTCTTGTTACTGGAACAGAGCAGGATCTCAGTGTTTGAGTTCCTATAAATACTGTTGAGGGGGTGTGGTGTATAGCCTCCAATGTTCTGGGCAGAGAGGAAGTTCCCAGGCTAGTGTGCCTTTTCTTCTTTTGTTCCTTAATTACTTGAGGGATATCTTGAGTGATTTCTTGAGTGATATCCTGAGTACCACTTAGGTGGGTCATTAGGTGTGGATTAGTTGCTAAAGCCTTCGTGTCTTGACCTCTTGAACTTTGTGAAGAGTTTTTCTGAGAAGATGGCTGTATTGCATTTAGTTGTGCTCTGGCTTGGCTTCGTGTATAGGGGCGAGCTGTGGTTTTGTGTCCTGTGCCAGCCAGATCTGTGTAGGGATTGCAGGGGGGTGCAGTATCCGGAGGTGCCACCATGGTTTGGCTACTGGATGGTGTCTGTAATTTATCTGTGGAGAGGGTCTGGGTTTGGGTCTGGTGTGGTTGATTGGTGATGGCGTTCTGTGTGCCTCTGGATCTGGTGTCGGTTTTTGTGGGGAGGGCTAATTTCCAGATGTCTGGCAGGCGGGATGTGTCGTCAATGTGACGACACATCCCGCCTGCCAGACATCTGGAAATTAGCCCTCCCCACAAAAACCGACACCAGATCCAGAGGCACACAGAACGCCATCACCAATCAACCACACCAGACCCAAACCCAGACCCTCTCCACAGATAAATTACAGACACCATCCAGTAGCCAAACCATGGTGGCACCTCCGGATACTGCACCCCCCTGCAATCCCTACACAGATCTGGCTGGCACAGGACACAAAACCACAGCTCGCCCCTATACACGAAGCCAAGCCAGAGCACAACTAAATGCAATACAGCCATCTTCTCAGAAAAACTCTTCACAAAGTTCAAGAGGTCAAGACACGAAGGCTTTAGCAACTAATCCACACCTAATGACCCACCTAAGTGGTACTCAGGATATCACTCAAGAAATCACTCAAGATATCCCTCAAGTAATTAAGGAACAAAAGAAGAAAAGGCACACTAGCCTGGGAACTTCCTCTCTGCCCAGAACATTGGAGGCTATACACCACACCCCCTCAACAGTATTTATAGGAACTCAAACACTGAGATCCTGCTCTGTTCCAGTAACAAGAAGCCGAAAGCACCAGCCTGAAGATGACGAGTGAGACCTCGTCGAAACGTCGCCTAGACACCCCAACTTTTACACGGGAAGACACCCGAGGACACCAAAACCTGCATATATATATATATATATATATATATGTGTGTGTGTGTGTGTGTGTGTGTTCAATAAATGTTAAAAAGAAAAGAAATTGGCACACAGCTGTGTATCAGAAATACCAAAATGGCCTGGTCCGCACATCACTGTAAACCAAACCATGGCTTGGCTTAGCTAGAACATGCAGATTTCTAGAGGGAGAGATAGCAGCTACTTTGCTCCCTTCCACTGTCATTCTGCTGCTATGCTGAGCAACCCCCTTGCTTGTTTTAAAAGTGTAATCTGAACCCAAGTTCGTGGTTTAGTTCTCTGTAGACTAACCATGAGCAACAACAGAAGTTAGTCCAATGGTTTGTGGCTCTTGGCTTGCCTGGAGAGAACTAAACCATAAGCCTGGGTTTGGACATCACCACAAACCAGAGCTTTCCAAACTTTTCATGTTGGTGACACACTTTTTAAGGCGTGCATCATTTCATGACACAGTAAATCAGTTTTACTAGCAAACTGGAGGTGAAACTAACCCCTTTCCAACCCTGGGAGGAGCTTGGGGAGCATTCACGTGACATACTTATACACTAACGTGTCGCGAGACAGAGTTTGGAAAGCTCCGTCTTAAACAAAGCTATGGTTTAGCTCACCACAGGAGCAGGACAACTAGGGAAGAGCAAAACTGCCAAAATCTCCTCCACAAGAGCTCTTGTCTATTCTTCTTAGCTTTTTTAGAACACTTTAATGTAGCCATCTGAGTGTATAACACTTACTATATGTACTGAGGAGTCCTTCATACTGAACAATTAGCCCGACCGTGTGAAGCTGCTGCAGGAAGCCTTGATCCCGCAAACTGGAGTGCAATTTGATTATAAACCCACAGACCAATCCAGCAAGCTAGAGTAATGACAATAACCAAATAAACAGATACCAATTATATTAGAAAGAAAGAAAGATAACAAGAGTCATTTACAAAATTCACTCAGCATTAATAACACAAATTCAGCTTGAACCAAGTCCCACTCTTTTGTCTGTGAAGCTGAATGTTGGAAAGATATGTCTAAAGCATTTATTCTCAAATAGTACTACAGAAGAAACATCACAGATTAAAAACACCCTAAGAGTTTTTAGATCAAGCATATATTTTATAGAATAATAAGGCATTGACACAGATCATAGCCATTCCAGAGATCTGAAGGAATCAAACTTAGCTAGTTGTTTTGGTGTGCAGCCTGTCCTTATAATATGAATTTAGCCATTGAAAGGAGATGAGCAAACAGTAGGAAAGAGAGTGAATATTTGGATTATTAAAAGCCTCCCACTGAGCAATGGACCATTATCCTGCCACCAGATAAAATTGACTAATTTAACTTTTCTTGATTTCATGTTTTCGAAATCAAATCTCCAGTTCGTGCTTTCCCCCCTGTTCTGCAACTTCCACTGAAACCATGTTTTCTAAATAGGTGTATAAGTGCAACCATATCCCGTAAGACATGATTTTGTTTCCAAAAGCAGTACATTTGTTCATTTGCTGCATAGTGTAACTTGAAAGTACACTCCTGGCTTGTAAAACATCTATTTGTCTGCTCATATTCCTATGCTCCATCTTAGGAATGAATCCAGTCTGTAGATTCACCAGGCACATCTTCACATTATTAATTAATGATTATGGCATTATATATGTATATTTCACAAAGAACAGGTATGACATTACTGTAAAAACATGGAAACATATAAGTTCTGCACTTAATATCTTGTTTTAAAATTCCAAAACCATTTGTCTAGACGTGAAAAAGGGAAACATATCCATCTTTGCACTGTGTTACTGTTGTCCCAGATCCAAAGTCCTCTGGGCATGAGCAGAAAAGCACATCTGTGCAGTCATGGGAGGCTCCTAATGTCTCATTATATGCTGCTCCAAAGGAACACCAACTGCTGCTGAAAGGGGAAGCCAAAAAGCCCCCTTGTGAATGGGCAGAACACCATTGTGCATTGTGCATGGCATTTCATGACTGTTCAGATGAAGACCATGTTTCCTTTTTAAAATGTGGAAGTATTATGCTTCCATATTTTTATATTATGTGGAATATATTACATTAATGACTAAAATGGGTAATTGGATTTTGCATTATTGACAAAACAGTTTGCACATTTTTTTTGTTCCCTGAGGAAGGGCCTGTGGAGCTGAAAATGTGTTCATCATGAAAGGGTATTCTGAATTAAAATGCATTTTCCAACAGTGTGGGAAGCTTCCGCTTCTGTGGCATAGAGGCGTCGGCTTTGGTAAGGCATTGCCTACAATAATGATAACAGCAGCTGGAGACTGCTTGGGTAGATCTTGTGTAAAACCAGTTGTGTTCTACTATCAGGACATGGATGGAGGCACCACCAAACATCTGAGAGGTGGCTTCAGAAGCACTGGCAGAAACATCCAAGGCAATCTCCTGTACTTGCACCATGGATCAATAGTGTATTTTCTGGTATATCTGAATGGCCCTTGAGCATCTGAAAACACGCAGTAAAAAGTCCAGGGAGCAGCAGTTTGCCAAACACCTTCCACATGTGACTGAGTCACATGTAGAAAGATGGAGACTTGTCCTTTGGTGTCTCAGTGGAGTACTGCAGCACTAAGGCCACTTTTGTGGAGCCAGAAAAGGACTGATCTACTTTTCCACTGTATGCTATGGGCAGAATACCATTCACTGGGATAGCCACATGCCTTTATACTCTAGGAGGTGGCTAAGTTGTTTTTCAAAAATAAAATGAAAGCCTGCCTCAGTTAAACCTGGCACGGTTTAAGTTGACAGCTCTGCAACAAAACAAAACAGATAAGTTTATGAAATGGAAGAAGCACCTACTGCTTGACTGAAGACAATATCTCTTCTTAGGGTCAGCATTAAGCATTGTGGCAAGCTACATGCAAGCTCCTGAAGCAGAACAAAAGACATTGATTGCTTTGCCCTAGTCACCACCTCTCCAATACAGTCCTTCAGCGTAACTGTGAGTGGATAAAGTTGTTCATACCAGTCACCTGTAACAAAGGAGGGAGATCAAGAATGGTGATCAAGGTAGAGAAAAATCTCCTTTTCAAAGCAGAAAAATCAGTGGATGTAATCCTTTCTCTTTGTGCACGCATACTAAGCTATGGTTAGGTGCCTGCAGCAGTTCCTCTCACACACTGACTGCTGTTTCTGGTGTATGAGATTATTAGCTCAGCTCATCCCTGCATTCTCAATACAACACCAAATCCACAAAAATCAACTTGTTGTTCATAGCCTAGTTGATGCAATTAAATGAACTTCCCAAAGTAACAGCAGCCTGAGAGGAAATCAAAGCTGGAAAACAAAATAAATGAAATGCTTGGTCAACTGAGCAAAATATTTATGATACTCTGATCTTCTAGTCAAGCTAAGGAAGTGCAACATATTGATTTCTTTATCGAGTGATTGCATGTAGTAAAAGAAAAAAACCCAAAACCCTACAACCCATGGATGTATACTAGAGAACACAAACTTCCTACTGGCTTTGAGAGGAAACAGTTAATCAGCAGCTTGACATATGACAAATTCACTTTCTGACATTCATGGGGGGGGGGAGACGACTGCCAATTTATTCTTATTTGTGAACAATTTTACAAGGGGTTACAACAACTGTACATTGCCAACGCAGCTTAAAAGCAATTCATTCCCTTTACATCCTCCACCACCACCCACAAGATGTCTGTGAGGCCTTTCAGCCATCCCACATATTGCAGTAATCTAACCTAGAGCATAGATGGCAGACATTTGGCTATCCCTGTCCAGCCAGGGGCACAGCTGGGCCAGTTGAGCCTCAAGCAACAGCCATGGATCCAGAAACATCCCCAAGCTACGTACCTGCTCCTTCAGAGGGAGTATAACCCCATCAAGAGCAGGCAACCTACCACCCATCTGGTCCAGGGAACCGCCCACTACCAGTGCCTCAGTCTTATCTGGTTTGAGTTTCAGTTTATTGGCTCTTATCCAGCCCATTACCAATACAAGACAATGGTCCAGCACATCCACTGCCTCACCTGTAGATGTAAAGGAGAGGTAGAGCTCTGTGTCATCAGCATATTGCTGATAACACTCCAAAACTCATTATATGAAGATGATGTACAGATGGTATATGACACCAGTGCAGTTAGGGAAAATGTACAAAACTAGTTCAAATATATGTTGGAAGTGTAAGAAAAAGGAGGAGACATTTTATCATATGTGGTGGGATTGTAATGTAATTAAAACATTTTGGGAAATGATATATAACGAATTGAAGAAAATGTTCCAGCTAACATTTGTTAAAAAACCTGAAGCATTTTTGTTAGGGATTGTAGGGAAAAAGCTGAAAAACATCATGTAAGCGACAATGGCTGTGAGAGTCCTAATAGCACAAGGATGGAAGACTGAAGAAATTCCAACTAAAGAATCATGACAAGAAAAACTGATGGACTATGCAGAACTTGCAAAATTGACACGTAAGATACGGGACAAGGATAACTGTGATTTTAAAGATGAATGGGAACCCTTTACAAAGTATTTGAAGAGGCAACAAAGTGAATTGGACTCCTTGGCAGGTTTTGAATAAACATTCACAAACTTTTTATTGACAATAATGAGTTAAACGATTTAAGGATCTATACAACTTTGCAACATGCAGAGAATAGCATTCACAGAGAAACCAAAGACTGGAACTGAGGGAAGTCATGGTGGGGTGGGGGTGGGTGGGTTTTGTGTGGGAGGGTGGGGGGAGGGAGGAAAAATGGGGGGGGGATTAAGGATGATATGCTTTTGGATCATATGTTTTGTTTAAATTTTCAATTAAGTTTTTTTTAAAAAAAGACAACACTCCAAAACTCTTGATAACCCCACTCAGTGGTTTCATGTAGACATTAAATAGTATAGGGGATAAAATCTAACCCACATTGAAGGCTCCACAGGGCCAAAAAACACTCCCCAAACATCACCCTCTGGAAACATTCATTCAAGTAGGAATTGAACCACTGCAAAACGGGGCCACCCACATCTAACTTGGACAGTTGCTCCAGAAGGATACCATGGTTGATGGCATCAAACCTTTCCCATGACTACATTAATTTCTACAATATATCTGTAGAGTGCTTCCATATTTTCCCCCAAGTTAATTTCTACTCCTTTAATCACTATAGATAACTTTATTTTTCATCTGTTCCCAATTTGAATTCATTTTTAATTCAGAGTTTGAATTAACAAGTGTGATGTAAAGTGGAAATAAAAACCCAGGTGTGACCTCATTTTTGCCTTTGAACAAAGATACAGATTGTTCCCTACTAAAAACATTTTTTCTAATGCAAACATTGTGTTTTTTCTTTCTTTCTTTTTTACAACTGTAGCAGATTTAGCATCCTTTGGTGCTTTTGTGATTCTCACAGTATCCTGGGCTCTTTTTTCCCCTTCCTCTGTCGGTTCCCACTGATAACGAAAAAGTTTATTGTATGACCTACCATACCCTACATTTACTTAATTGTTCATTCCATCTTTGTAACTGAAGGCAAAGAGCATTCGCTTAAAATTAGGTTCCTAACAAATCCTGAAACCACCAAGCTATTATATAGCATAGCTAATTTAGCATCTAAGCAAAAAATGATTTCAGTATTCTAAAAATAAAACTCTGAACTGCAAATTCAACTGTAACGGCTAGAGGTTTGGAAAGTGTTAAACTCTGCTATACCACAAGATAACATTTGACCTCAGCCTACATCTATCTTACATTAGCATCACAAGTACTTATTACAGTACAAATGTATAGAACATACTGAAGCTATGTGTTTCACAATACTTATGAACACTGCAATATTTTATATCGAGGATTTCCCCCAAAGTCTCAGGAGCACAGAGTTCTGTCTTAATATAATATATTCATGTTGTGATAGCAATGCAGTGATACTGACGATAATGCTTTTTATTATCTTGGAGGCCTAATACAATGTTAAGTGAAATTCAATTATTTATGTAAGCCATCCAATTGCTTTGCATGGAAATTTTGATTAGTTTTTCCACTGTTATGTTTTATCTCCAGTAGGTGGAGCCACTTAATAAGCCTGAAACACCAACATATAATCAGTTATTATTCAATTAAACCGGTATCCTAGGCTATGTACACAAAACCAGCTCAAAATGTTTCCCCCCACTGCATTTCAAGTTGTATTTACGTGTTGCTGTATGCACTAGAGAGAGGCCAGAGATGTCGTCACCTAATGCAAAATACCTGTTAGGTTCCACTGCACCTGTAACGTCTGCCCCCCAGCTCCTAGTCATGAAGCTGCCACCAGTTCATGAACAGCTGTGTCAAATGTACACACCTCAGCTTAACTGTGAAGTGAATGTGGCTTAAATTTTCAAAGTTGGAAGTTGGTTTGAAGGAAAACACATCAAGCAACAGTATTCCTCAAGAAGCTAAAGGAAATATGTGGATTGTGGCTAGCATTCTGTGTAAAAAGTAAAGGTAATGGGACCCCTGACCATTAGGTCCAGTCGTGGCCGACTCTGGGGTTGTGGTGCTCATCTCGCTGTAATGGCCGAGGGAGCCAGCGTACAGCTTCCGGGTCATGTGGCTAGCATGACTAAGCCGCTTCTGGCGAACCAGAGCAGTGCACGGAAATGCCGTTCACCTTCCTGCTAGAGGGGTACCTATTTATCTACTTGCACTTTGACATGCTTTCAAACTGCTAGGTTGGCAGGAGCAGGGACCGAGCAACGGGAGCTCACTCCGTCACGGGGATTCGAACCGCCAACCTTCTGATCAGCAAGTCCTAGGCTCTGTGGTTTAACCCACAGCACCACCCGCGTCCCTTTTAGCATCCTGTGTACATGGTTTCAAACAATGGCAGTGCGAGTGTACTGGAGCTACAGTACATGGTAATGTGTACACCATTTTAGAGCCCCCCGGTGGGCTCAGTCCAGATTACATGTTAAACTTAGGTCCCATTGAACAAAGTCATGGCTAACTTGCCTCACTGATTTCAATGACGTCTAACTTAGCCTGGATCCGACCCACTTAATTCAATGATTCTGGGGTTTCCAATATTCTGAAGGGATGTTTAGGCATCAAATGCACTACTGCCCTTTTACAGGAAGGGATCTGCACAAATCCTTTTCTGATATTATACTGGATGAAAAGAAACACACAGGAAATTGACCTGTGCCGTTTCCTTGTAGCATCTAAAGATGGAGCTTTGAGGCAATGCTCACAGGTGTACTTAAGAGCCCAAAGGCACAACAGCCAAGCATCCTCTCCCACCTTTGACAGCAACCTATATCCAAGCCTCAGTGTGCCAAAAGCAGAGAGCAGGATCATGACCTGAAAAGCAAACAACTCCAGATTGTTCAAGTAAAATAGCCTACGCTGTACAATATAACCTGCAGTTCTCTGAAGCAGCAGAGGACCCCTGCCTCTCAGCTCTGCAACTGCATACTGAAAATTACATGCATGCAATTGCAAAATACAGTAATAACCTCTTTTTTTGCATATTTGCAAGGTATACAAGTTGAGCCTAACCTCTCTGCTTTGCTGGGGGAAGGGAATACAAAAGACTTTGTACTTTCTCTTCAGTACGATTTGCAGCAAAGGTGCAAACAGCAGCCCTCAACATTTCAAGCAACTGGAGTATTTTTCACTTACTACAACAGATCTTTCTGAAGAGGAAAGAGTTGCAATTGCAGACCTTGAAGAACAGGTTGTTCTGTTGCAATGGTATTTAAGGCTCTACTGCATACATACTTTCCTTCCTTCCTTTTCTCTCTGCTCAGTTGATGACCCAGAGAGGACCCAGAGGGCCTCATAAGTTACCATGGGGTAGTCTGTCCTTTATAACCATGTGTAAACATTTGAACAGTTACCTGCCTGATATCTAGTGCACTTGCATAACTTGGATTTAAAGGAATGTGCAGACATTCTTATGTCGCATTCACAAATAATTTCTTTTCTAGGAGAGCTGCCTCACAATATCACCACTTTTTACAGAAATAATGGTATACA